TTCACACACTCTCGCTCATTCTTACATACATAAATATATGAACTTGATATTGTGCAACGACCTCCGCTGAGGGGGAAATGGTTGCAGATGGCGTGGACTTAATAATGGAATAATAATAATGTTGTGTGAATAAATATAGTATAACAATGTTTGTGGCAGCCCTAAGCGTAACGGCTTGTAAAAGTGTGCCAGTGGCAGCGCACGGTGTAACGGTGACGACCAACCCGTCTTCTACCGCACCATGTCATCGACACTCGATCGAGACAGTTAAACAGTTTACATCTCGCGCATTCTAATGTTTCCGTTCCTAGAGTTGACTCGCTGATAACTCACTGACCTAGTCCCAAATCGAATCGAAAGCAAGTCTCTATTTTTTCCATGGGTAAAATAGAGTCCCTAGTCCCCACATTAGAGCTGTGTCGTAAGTGACTAGTCTCTTGCAGGTCTTATGTCTACTTACAATTAGAGTTTAATCGAGAAGTGAAGTGGTAACTTACCACTATAACGCATTGGTCTAATAGTAGCAATGTATGGGTACAAAGCCTAAATAGGTCGGCGCGTCTTGTTTAGATGTTACATGGCTGGCGTATTCCACCTTCCACCAAGTGAAGTACTGGTCTTTCCTCCTCTATCAAAAACAAATATCGGATCGTAGATTCGATACCCACCGGGTCAATGTTTCGAATTAATATATAATTTGTCCAAAGCATATTGGACGCATGGAAACCTCGATATTCGCAACTTCATAGACTTAAACCGAAGGGATTTATGCATATTTAATTCATGAGGTGACGACGACACATTGTTCAAATTGGTGTCGTGGTGGCCATAAAGACGTACATTCCTTAAATATGATGCCAATAGCTTTCTTCGAGAATACACTAATAGTGCAGTCTATAAAAGGATGTGCTTATATGACAGTTCCGTAAATAGATTAGTGGGTATGTATGCTGAGTGTTTCAAGTTGATTAACTGTTATAATTTAAAAATCGAAAATAAATTGTAGTGTAAGTATGCGCGGTAGGTGTGCATGTATCAATAAGTTGAAAAATTCAACGAGAAGGTGTAGGACTCGGTAACTTATTTGTTAGAGCAACAGCACGGAACGCTGACGATGCCGGTGCAAGTCCTGCCCGAGTCGAATTTTTTTTCAATTTATAGTCGATTTTTAAATTGTTTTCTTGTTTGTAAAATTAATATTATTATGTTGATACGACTCTAAAATATGTAAATATCGAATAAATAGCTGCACCATCAAACCAATAAGATGATATCCTTATTTATAAAACTTCATTTAACAATTCTTTATTAATTTATAGAAAAGATGGATTATTTTTAAAGTTGCTAACGCTCTCGTGACCTGTTTCTGCTCTTCATGCCTATTTTTCAACTACTCAACAAAAAACTTTTAATGGCTTAAAACGCAAAAAAAAATATTAGTTAACTTATTTTTTAGTTAACTACGGTCCGACATATTCGTCATCCTCGGGACCCCCGTGACCATTGCTGCTAGAAAGCACAAGCACAAACAAGTTAACATACATTTTTCGCGTCTTGGACCCTTAAAAGATTTTAATTTAAATGTAAACTACATACAATACTTAACACGACTTTTTGTTCAAAGTTACACGTTCTTTATCAAATAGTAAATGAGTTATCTGGAAGTTAAATATTTATTTTCATATCGGTCTTGTAGTTAGACAACAACAGAAGTGGCAGAATATAAAAAAATACAGATTGTCGTTAGGGAGTCCTCTTCTCTACCTCTTTTTTATTTATTAAGTAAGTAATTACGCATATTTTATGTAGTTAATAAGCTAAATACTGTCTATAGTTTACGCGAGTAGTACACATTTAAATAAAACACTTTAACGGTTTAAAACGCGGGGAGACTCCCCGTCGAGAGTGTCTCCCCGTGACCACGGCTGCTGCAAAGCATCCGAAACGTCGGGCCGAAGTTAAAAATCATTTCCAAATAACTTTAACTAATATATCGCGTTTTAAACCGTTAAAGTGTTTTATTTAAAAAAGTTAATAAGCTATTATTTTAGTTCGTTTTTGTATTTTTTATGTGCCTTATGAAATTGAGTTTGAGTTCTTAAAAGATTTAAATAGACGACCGCCTCAGCGTACAATAAATAACATTATGTGTGTCGGTAGGATGATAGTTCAATAACATGAGTTATACAGGTATCTGGACACCTGTTGAACCAACTGACGAGATGATAATAATACAATAATTAAACAAGAGACCGCGTTAGGCGTACGCACCGTCACACCATAGCCACGACTTGTTCCGTTATGCGCTTCAAGCCATGAGCGAATAGCGGAATTATTTTTAGTCTATATTTATTAAACTGCAAATATGATTTGGAAGTAAAAACAAAGTAGAATTATAGAGCATATCTACCATGCTGCCTAAATGGTTTTATATCATTAGAGAAATCTGTTCTTTTTTCAAAGTAAATAATTAGGACGCCATTTTTATTATGATAGAGGAAGACAAGAACGAGGCTCACTTGATGATGATGATGATGATGAAATACCCTAGCCATATAACATCTTAGCAAGATGCGTTGTTGGCCTAACTTACTACCAAACCTAAAAAGCTTTATTAGTTAGAAATCCACCGAAACGTAATTGAACTTCATGGCTTTTTCATCTGTGGGTCTTGACCCGGACGGAATTTCGATTTTCCTACCGCAAATTTAATATCCAGATTGTCACACAAAGTCCAATATGTTTTGGAAAAATTATAAATTGATTAGAAACAGTCTAAAAAACCAGGTGGGGATCGGACCCGGTCTATCAGTCATACATTGCTCCCATTGCATCCTGTCAATATAAAAATAACAGAATTTAAAGAATAGTGACTAATTAGTTCGTTAAACCGTTAATCGCTTCATCTTAAGACTCAGACCGCGAAAGCTCTAATAAGCATTCAATATATTCAGTCACGACTTGACTTTGCTTTTTATTGCATAGAAAAAATATAGACTCTATATTGATAACATTTTTTGCAGACTTACGCTTCATATTAAAATTTGGCTAATAGTCCACAGAACATGGTTTCGAACCCCGCCGCTTTTATATAATCGGTGGATATTTTTTCTGGAACGTGTTTGACTTCGTCTGGAAATCTGGATATCAAATGGATGGGGAGTATATCAAAATTCCGTCCAGGTCACAAACAAAAAAAAAAGTTGAAAAAGTATTGGAGTTTATTTAACCGCATTTTCGGTTTGTCCGTGAATTTCATTGCAGAGCGAAAATAGGCCGTCAGCACATCGTGTTACATTTAACTTTTACCTCCCATTAAGTGAACTGCCTTGCTTGTTTGTCCACCTTTGTTATGACATTTGTGATCACAGCACCGAGTATCATTTAAATGTTATTATGAATACGAATGCAATTATGAAATCTAAACTAATATTATAAAGCTGAAGAGTTTGTTTGTTTGATCGCGCTCATCTCAGGTACTTCTGGTTCGAATTGAAAAATTACTTTTGTGTTGGTTATAATATTTATCGAGGAAGACTTTAAGATATAAAACATCAAGCAGCGACCTATAAGAGCAAATAATCAGAGAAAAACGTGTAAAACGGGAAAAATTATCTTTTAGGATTTCCGATGCACGCGCTGTGAAAACGGTTAAAGGTACCCAAAAAATATATCTTAATATAAAAAATCCGAGACACTACATGTCTATCTTTTAATATCGACTTGTAAAAACGACGGGACGCGACTGACGTGGTGGGTAATAGCTTAAATTTATAAGACGAAGAGGAACTTTGCAAAAACGACGTTTCGCTAGTTGTAATCTACACGACTGTACACCAAAACCCTGGCTCCGACGAATGGAGGACCTGAACTTGAACTGTAGACTGTCATGAGCGGGTAAACGCAACTTTCCGCCGGAGAGAGTCGTGGGAACGAATGACAATGCGGTTTCCGCTTTTTCGATACCATTCACGAGTCATGTGAAGTAATTTCTCGATGAAGAAAGTAAGAGTGTGTCAGTGGAGGCGTTTTCGTGCGGAAATACGGAGCGAATAACATTATGCTTTTCCTCGTAACGTTGTGCATATAACAATAACTTTTTTTAATATTAAAATAAAATTTAAATAATAATATTATTAAGATTTCTATATACCACTGCGTGTCGGTGAATAGCCATAATGCGATTAATTTCATGCACCATAAAGAACTTATGCAAAATATTCACGCGAAACGGAGCGAATTATATTTTTTAATTATTCTTAATAATCTCGTTGTTTTTATTATGTTAATAAATTAAAGTAAATAAATTCCATGTCCTCGTTAGTATAAAATATTATTATCTAATTTTTGATTTCTCTTTTTGTCAACTAACAAACGTTTGAATATATTGGCAGCTAGCGAAACATTTTTTTGCATTCAATGTATCTACGTTACGTCATAATTGTAAATGTACTCCCGTAACTACAGTTGCTGAATTGCATCTAAAAACGTCGGGTTTACAAAATAATTGCGTTTTAAACCATTGAAATGCGAGATCTGTCGTAATATATAAAACTGAAGAGTTTGTTCGTTTATTTGAACGTGCTGAATACTACTGATTCCAATTGAAAAATTATTTTTGTGTTGAGAAATGTGGAGTAAAGGTGGAAAATGATACATCCTTCTGGGTATCCGTTGCGTACGCTGCAACGTTCAAGGTACCAAAGAAATGTGTATGAAACAATGGTTCCTCTTTAAATTATCTAAAAAAAAATCCGCAATAGTATAGATCTATCATATAAGATTAACCCGCAAGAGCAACAGGACGTGGGCAACGTCGTAGGTAACAGCTTAAATTTATAGAGTTGAACAGGTTTGCAAGGACAAATTTTGACTGCCAAAATAACAATTCTATGCGGACGAAGTCGCTGACATAGCTAGTAGCGAATATTTGATTACTGTCGACGATACGTTGAAACCCTAGAAGAAATACATATTTATATACTTAAAACATAGCTTACCGCAAAACGGTATGCCATCTGGTGACCAGCGCCCGTTGCCGTCGCATATACGTCGAGATGGGCCCAATAATTCGAAGCCCCTGTCACAAGTGTAGGTCGCCACAGTCCCGGAAACGTACTTTTCTTCTGAGAACGAGACCGAGCAGTGCGCAGGGACACCAGGAAACCCGCACGATGAAACTGCATACACTGAAATATGGGAAACAACACATTATAGCTATGCTAATATTGTAAAACTGAAGGGTTTGAACTATTGACAAATATTTGTCTTGGTTAGAGCATTTTTTATGGGAAGGGACTATAAAACACCAGACTGCAACCAAAGAAAAAAAGAAATACGAGGAAAAAACTTTGAGGGCTTCCGTTACGTGCGCTGAACGGTTGAACATACCAAAAAAATGTGTATAAAAATGATTATTTCTTAAATGATCTCGAAAAATTTACGACAGTGGCTATGTGTGGCTGTTAATATTAAATCGCGAGAAGCCTTTTTATGGTTAACAAATTCAGTCGAAATTAATGCATTATTACCAATTATTTCTTAGAGATTTTAACGTAATAATATTGATTCAGCTCGTAACTAGATTAGTAAAAACCATTTATTTTTTTTCACTACTCCGTTTTATATACTCAGTTTTTTCGTGAGACACAAAGTTTGATAAAAACTAATAATTTCAAATTTAAAATTCGAATGTCTTTTGCTTTCTTATTGTGATTTATCGAACTAAGCATAGCAACCACAGATTCACGAAATAATTCTTTATCTGTTGCAAGACGCACTTACAAGAATATCTATACTAATATTTAAAGCTGCAGAGTTTGTTTGTTTATTTGTTTGAGTGCGCTAATCTCAGGAACTACTGGTTCTTTTGGGCGTAAACATTGCGAGCAACTAATAGGAGAGAAAAGACACGGTTATGTAACTGCGAAAACGGGTCAAGCTACCCAAAAATATGTATAAAGAATGCAACCTTATTAAATGATATAAAAAAAGTCCGCGACAGTATATATCTATCATTTAACTTAAAATTTCAGGACGACGGGTCGCGGCTGACCTTTTGGGTAACAGTTAAAATTTATACAGATGAAAATAATTATTCTACACGGACAAAGTTGATGGTAGTGCTAGTAAAGCATTCAATTAAAAATAATATAATAATAACATAGACGTAATATGGTGCCTACGAGAAAGTGTTATTGAAAACAAGAGTTTACCTAAGGGTTGTAAATACCAGGCCACAAACAACCGAAAAAAAAGTACTTATCTGTGGATTACATGATTTTGACAGCCGCTAATCAAAACGGTACTAAGATGACCGTGAAATGGATAGTGCGTTTAACGAGAGTCTTGTACAATTAGCACACAGTGTTAGGAAGCAGCCGGCTGAATGTTCGCGGGGACCACTCTTGGCTATACGTCTTATCACGTTGATGATAATGGTGGCTTTGTTGACGCTCCACATGCGGTCTCTGAGGGTCTTCCGTTGGGAACAGTCGGTCTCTGGCGGGTTGCTAGTGACGTACTGTATTGCGTCGCTGGGTCTTGCGCTTTGTGCGGGCGTTACTAAGTGTGGAGGAATGGCGCTACAGGTACTTTACGAGAAATAACTAGTCCATTTGACGAATCGAATTTTATTTAAAACATCTTCGAAGTATTTGTTCTTTCTCCGATTCACACGAAAATTGTGTCTCAATTAAAACCCAAAATTCTTCACGCAATTGCTACGCAATTTATTATTAGTATTATAAATCAAAACGCTTTAAACGGTTTAAAATTCAAAACGTATTAGTTAACTTCTTTACAAATCATATCAACAACAACCTAACTGCGTCTAAGCAACACAGACAAAATAAATTGTAAATAAGTTAAGTAAAACATTTCGCGTTTTACACCCGTTACTTTGACTCTGGCAACAGCATTAAAACCTGTTTTTTTTGTTAAAGTAAATGTAATATCTTTATATATATAAATCTCCTGTCTCGATGTTTGTCCGCTATGGACTCCTAAACTACTAAACCTATTTTAAATTAAACTGGCACACCGTGAGCAGTCTGGTCCTACTTGAGGCATAGGATAGTTTAGATTTTTAATTATAGTCGCTATTTTATTTTATTGCAAATTATTTGTCTATAAATAATTGACAGTTACAATGCTATGGTAAACCGACAAACGTGTCATATAAGCTACATTTCAATAGATGAAATTATTTATATGGCAAAACAACGTTTGCCGGATCAGCTAGTTGTAATATAGATTTTGCAAAGAACACGTTGCCATAGCTCTGTATATAGCTTTGCATGCATAGTCTTTGTTCCAGACATATTTGTGTGGTGTTGGTGCAGCCCTTATGTCAGTGAACGCAGCAATCCTCTACCAGAGGTGGCGTTACGCTGGCGAGCTGACTCGAGTCGTGGCGGAGTTCCTTGTGGCCATGGGAGTACCTCTACGTAGACAAGTCCTCACTAAAGTGGTGCTCAGTGCCACAGCAGCTGTTGCGCTGCTCGCTGATCTTGTTGCAGTACCATTGTTACCAATGTTACGAACCGAATAAAGAATATATTACAATTACACAAATTATATATATAGATATTTATATAGATTCACGACTGTTTGTTTAAATACTGTCTGTAGTTTACGCGAGTAGTACACATTTAAATAAAATACTTTAACGGTTTAAAACGCGATACATATTAGTTAAAATTATTTTTAAATTATCTTAACTACTTCTCGTCGTTTTGGATCCTTCGCTGCAGCCGTGGTCACGGAGTGATGTATATCGTGTTTTAACACTAGAAGCGCATCCGTTACACTTTTGTCTTTTTGAACTTTTAATTTTTTTTTATCTACTGGAAGTCGTGAAACTTCTCGACTTTTGATCACCTTTATCATGTCCAATGTATTTTCTAATAAATAAACATAAAAGTAAATAAAATAATGACCGTTTTAACTAAAACTGCCGTTGGGTCAGTTTTGTCCCGCCGAAGTTCTAGGAAAATAAATAAATTGATATAAAGTTATTGTGCTTTGTCAGATCAGCTAGTTATATATATATATATCGTTACATATAGCTATAATATCGTACAGCCATATGGAAATGATTGTAAACGCAAGCTTAACCCAAATTGTATAATCAAATAACTCAGTCAAGTCAATCAGTGGGGTCTCCGAAGTGTGTGGCCGAGGGCGATAAGTTAAAGAAAGTCGTGACTAAGAAACGGAATCGCATGACGAATGACGAAACGCGCCATCAGAGAAAATCCGTGAAACATCACAAATTCGAAGAGTGCCCGATCAGAAGTATACCGTGGCGATTTATTTAGCGAAAGCGCGAGCTAATGGTTTAATGATCTTGAAACTCACTTTAACGAGCGTTAAATTTTGCTCGCCGTCATTTTTTCCCTTCAACCGCCTTCAGTGCTGTCTGCGTCGTAAATTTTTTTCAATCTATGATCGATCTTTTATGTATATAGTGCCACCATGTGGAAAAAAATCATCTTTAACGATTTTCTTAAACTACAAACCATAAGACATTGAACCTTAATGCACACGCGCATTGTAATTTCAGCTTTAACAAGCAGGTGTAAAGGTTGAAATTACAATGTCCGAGAGGTGCGCGTAAGTTAAAAAAATTCGACGATGAAGTGTAGGTCACGGTAGCTCAATTGGTTAGAATAATACCGGTTCAAGTCCCGCCCATGTTGTAAAATTAAAATTCAACACCTATATATTGAATTTTGTAAATATTAGTAACATTTGCAGTATTGTCCGTAGTTTTCGAGTAGTACACTTTTAAATAGAACACATATTACCGTTTTAAACGCAAAATATACTAGTTGAATCATTTACAGTTTATTTCAACTACGACGGTTTCACGTTTTAAACCGTTAACTTATTTAACTTGAACTTGCTTTGCTTAGGTTCTGTTTCAAATAGTGTAGTCAGTGTTTGGATAGTTATCCAAACACTTCAATAATAACAATCGACAAAAAAATATTTCTTTAAAGAGCTTTTCTGTTCTTTAAAGAACTCCATATCTAAGTGATAAGTATTATAATTATATGATAAGAATGTTATGTGATATATTATGAAAGAAAGGATGAGCAACTTAGCAACCAACTACTAAAGGTTGTCGGCAACTGAGATGTAAAGGCCAAGGGATGTTTATATTAGAGCGACATCGATTACTAGTGCTTAGTCGAAATCTGTAAACGTTACACTATTAGTGAAAGTTGACCCGTATAATGGTATGACTAGACAATATCGGCAAAATACAAATGATTTTCGTTTTCTCGGAATGGCTGACTCATAGCAACGAAGAATATTGGCGTTTGAATGATTTCAATTCTTTATCAACACACGGCAACGTGGCAAGCCGATGTCAAGCAAAGGAACTGGCTTGGCTAAGAGTATCTTCACATATATAAAGCTGAAGAGTTTGTTTCAATGCGCTAATCTCAGAAACTACGGGTTCGAATTGAAAACTTCTTAGATTACCTATTTATCGAGGCGTTCCTCGATAAAGATGAAAGAAGTTTTAAATTCGAACTATAGGCTATAAAACATCGCCCTGTAACTAATACAAGCGAAGATACAGCGAGAATAGTGAAAAGATATTGGGAAAATGATTCAATGGTTTAAGATACACAAAATATAAATATGAAAGAATGATTCCTCTTTAAATTATCTAAAACAGCTCCTTGACGCTATATGTCTATCCTCTAAGATTACCTTGCAACAGCGACGGGAATGCGACCGACGTCGTGGTCAATAGCTTAAATCTATAAAAAAGTGTATAGGTATCTTTTTTTATAATACCGCATGTGCTAAATGGTTGTGTTGCCTAGCATTGCGTTAAGCGCGAGAGGACCTGGGTTCATATCATGGGGACACAAATTGTTTCGCTCCAGTAGGGCATAGCACTCAGATAATAAAACCGATGAGTGAAACGGGCACAGAAATGTGTCGGCCCCATGCTAAGGGGAAACTAATATAATTAAAATGCGCTATATACTGTAGTAATAAATCGGGGGGGTCGAAACCCAAGGCTGCTGCGAAGCATCGGGTCGGGAAACGTCGAGCCGTCTTAAATTCATTAATAATAAGTTATATTATAAGTGTTTTATCTACAAACCTTTTAGGTACCTATTGCGTGTTTTAAACGGTTTAAAACTTAGATTATTATTAGTTCTAGATATTACGCATTTTAAACAGTTTAATTAGAAAATATTATAGGTCTGCCTAATGTTTAGTATACAAACAACGGCTAAACGGATTTCCGTGAGAGTTAAATGTATTCGTGAGGGATCGACAGACGACAGAGAGTACACTTATCCAGTCGCGAGTGGCGAATGATTACGGACGCCAAGAAAGCGTGGTGACCTCACGCAAGTTCCGACCAACATTAATATCAATCCATCTTTTAATTTATTACAATTCTTTTAAAGAGAATCTATATATCCACAACTAGCTGTGGCCGCAGCATCGTCCGCGCGGAAAAGTTTTTTTGGGCAAAATTTGTTGTAGCATGCCCCCCCATCATTATAAATTATAGCTGTTACCCACGACGTCGGTCGCGTCCCTTCGTTCTTTGGCATTGATTTTAAACTATCGAGATTAAAAATATACATCTATGTAACATACTTTTCATATATATTTGTTTAATACCTCAAACCGTTCGTATGAATAATTTTTCCCTTTTTTCACATTTCCCACTGTCTCATCACTCCTATTGGGCTCAGCGTCTTAAAGCCTTCCTCTACAAATGCTCTAACGAACACAAATATTTTTCAATTCGAACCAGTAGTTCCTGAGATTAGTGCGTTCAAACAAACAAACTTATATTTTAGTAGTATACAAAGAGTGACAAAAATACTATTTAAATAGTTATATAGACTGTACCACTAGACTATGGTTTAAGAATTAAGCACGAGAGGTCCTGGGTTCGAACCCTACGAAATCGATAGATTGCTTCGGTCGGGCAGGGCACAAAAGTCTGATCAATAACTATTCCGATCGCTAGACCAACTATATCCGGTATTTGGGTCGAAAATAATAAATTGGATAACGGTGATACATTCAAATGGTGATATTGAAGAATCGAGTTTTGAAATCCCGTTTCCGATGTAAATTATTAGGAACATCAGCCATACATATAAGGCTGAAGAGTTTGTTGGTTTTTTGTTTGAAAGCGCTAATCTTAGGATCTACCGGTTTGAATTGATTTTTTTTTCTTAGAACATTTATCGAGGAAGAGTATAAAACATCAGGACTGATAGGAGCGAAAAAAAAAGCGGTAAATGTGAAAAATAACGGGGAAAACTATTCTTAACTAGTCTTAGTCTCCGATGCGTACGCTGCGTAAACGATTTAATATACCAAAGAAATATGTATGAAAGAATGATTCCTTTTTGAATTATCTACAAAAATGTCTAGGACACTATATGTCTGTATGTAAGGATAACTTGCAAGAACGACGGGAAGCGACCGACGTCGTGGGTAACATCTTAAATTTATAAAGTTGAAACCTCCTCGGTTTACAAATTTCGGTGTCTAAAGTAACTATTCTATGCGGACGAAGTCGCTGACACAGCTAGTTGTAATATATTCTTAATGAATGATTCTGCAAGTCAGAATATCAGATACGACGATCGCTGAAGATAGCATTTTATTCTGACACATAATTAATAAAGCAGATAGTGTTTGCTTTCTACTTATTTACAATTTATTTTAAGTACGGCCAGACGTAGTTAGCTATATGCATATATCATGCAATTTAAACTGCTATATGTTTTGTTTAATTGTTTATTTAAATGTGTACAAGAATGCGTCCAAATTTACGGTTAAGTTTTATTTTCTCATAAGAACAAAACAACCGATTACGTTTTCTCAAACATGTTTGGAAATATGAGCATTGTCTTGACCACCTTCTTCGAGATTAATCGCACTTGCTGACAAATAAATAAATATATAAAACCCTACTTGTCGTGTAATTTAAAAATGGAACCTCTACTCCGCAACATGGCGACCGAGGAGGTAACTTGTGAAAATTTAAATTTAAATTTCGAACTGGCTTGCACACTGCTGTTACGAGATTAGAAAACAGATTCTTTTGTGTCACTCGTGTGCTTTGTTTGAATTGCTTATCTGTCGTTAGCCTATTTTGAAGCTGATCATGGGTGCTTATATAGCTTAGCATTATATTAGGACTACTTAGAGTAACAAGTGTATAGTTAAATAAGAAATCTTCGCTAGATACGGTAGCTCAATTGGTTAGACCACAGAAAATGGGTTCAAGTCCCGCCCGTGTCGTATTTTTTTTATATTTAAATCTATGTAAAAGTTGAAGCTATCGTCGTAACGCGATGAGCTTAGTTATTTCTGAGGTTAACGTACAAAAAAACCTGGGACAATGTTATGCCTTTTTTACGATAGAGATGGAAAGTAAAATACCTCAGCCATATAACATCTGATGCGCTGTCAACTTATTTAGATTTTTCCTATTCAGAGATCCATAATCTGAAACCGAAGTGCCACTCACGGCTTCTGTGGACG